GCCGGGTATTGTGGCAGGTGCCTGTAGTCCCAGCTACTTGGGAGGCTGAGGCAAGAGAATGGGTTAAGCCCAAGAGTTCAAGGTTGCTGTGAGCTGTGATGCCTCAGCATTTTACCCAGGGTGACAGTTTGAGGCTCTGTCTTAAAAGAAAAAATGTGGGAATCCCTCCCTTAAATAATCCCTTTGGCAGTTACTTTCTGTTTTCAAACTTGAAGTCTGTCTTCCAGGCCTAACCTAGGAAGTGAGTGCTACGGGAGTTAATATCTATGGAAAATGGAAGAACCTACTGTTTGCCAAGTAGACACCTGTGATGCACCCTATATTTCTTACCATGCACCTAGAAGGTACCCATATATTGCTGTGTATAGTGCATACGTTTGCCCAATTTTTTGAGAGAAAAATATGGATGTACATTATATATGGACAGTACTACTTGTTACTGATATGTAAAATTTCTTTTACCTTGTTAGCTGTTGTTGTGTCTTGTAATTATTTGTTACATAAAATTTCTTTCTTTTCTTTTCCTTTTTTTTTTAGAGACAGAGTCTTACTTTATCACCCTCAGTAGAGTGCCATGATGTCACAGCTTACAGCAACGTCCAGCTCCTAGGCTTAGACAATTCTCTTGCCTCAGCCTCCCGAATAGCTGAGACTACAGGCACCCATCACAATGCCTGGCTATTTTTTGTTGCAGTTTGGCCAGGGCCAGGTTTGAACCTGCCACCCTCGGTATATGGGGCCCATGTCCTACCCACTGAGTCACAGGCGCTGCCCTACATAAATTTCTTATATCATAATACATTAAAATATAAATGCTAGACTCTGCACCTGTAGTTCAGCGGCTAGGGTGCCAGTCACATACACCGGAGCTGGCAGGTTCAAGTCCAGCCCGGGTCTGCCAAACAACAATGAAAACTAGAACCAAAAAATAGCTGGGCATTGTGGTGAGCAATTCTCTTGCCTCAGCCTCCCAAGTAGCTGGAACTACAGGCTACAGGGTAATAGCTACACCCGACTATGTTTTGGTTGTAGTTGTCATTGTTGTTTGGCAGGCCCAGGCTAGATTTGAACCTGCCAGCTCAGGTGTATGTGGCTGGTGCCTTAGCTGCTTGAGCTAGAGGTGCCGAACCTCTTATGTCTTCTTGTTGAATTGTTACCTTCACCATTATATGTATAATAATTGTCTTTCTTTAGTTTTGTTGATTTGAAGTCCATGTGTTCTGATAAAGAATGGCTACAGTAGCTTTCTTTTGGTTTCCATTTGCCCAGAATATAGTATCCCATCTCTTCACCTGGAGTCTGAATGAGTTCTTGTCTGTTAGATGATCTTGGCTAATATAGTTTGATCCATTCAGCCAGTCTGTATCTCTTTTTTTTTTTTTTTTTTTGAGACAGAGCCTCAAGCTGTCCCTCTGGCTAGAGTGCTGTGGCATCACAGCTCACAACAACCTCCAACTCCTGGGCTCAAGCGAATCTCCTGCCTCTGTCTCCCAAGTAGCTGGGACCACAGGTGCCCACCACAATGCCTGGCTATTTTTTGGTTGCAGCCATCATTGTTGTTTGGCGGGCCTGGGCTGGATTCGAATGCGCCACCTTAGGTGTATGTGGCTGGTGCCTTAGCCACTTGAGCCACAGGCGCCAAGCCCAGTCTGTATCTCTTGAGTGGGAAATTCAGGCCATTCACATTTATTGAAAGAATTGGTAAGTGGAGTGGATTTCTGTTCATTCTGTAGAGGAGAACTTCATTGCCTTGTTTTGCCTCTTTGGCCATTTTGGTATCTGGGCTCTGACCTTTTTGGCTTTTAGGTGATTTTACACTATTGGG